AGGTTCCAGATTTAAATCCTGATAATAATAATCATCCTTGCATTTGGTATAGCACCTTATCACGTCTTTGTCTCAAAGTGCTTCACAGAATATACTGTAAAGTGAATTGACTGTATATTTTGTGGGGAAATGTGGCAACCTATTGAGCACAGCAGTGTCCCACAAACAGTCGTGGATTGAGTGACCAAATATCTATTATTATTATTTTGTTTGAAGGAATTATTACCCAGGGAAAAGCGATCCGCCAATGAACTAACAACTGGGTTCCAACTTATTGCTAGGTAAACAGAGGCATGTGAAGTAAAGAAACTTGCCCGACCTTTCATCCTGCTGGGAATCGAATTTCTTTCGCTTGCGAGGTGAGTGCTCTAACCGCTGAGCTACTGGACTCCACGAGATCTATGCTGGGTTAGGGCGTCTCAGCTCGGTCAGGAGTAGAGATGCTATAAGTTGGGCTCAGCATTCCACCTCTACAGAGGTGTTTCTTGTTACACAATATCTATGGATGACAGATGAAGACAAGACGGAGCTCGGTCTTGATGGTCGAAAATCCCTCCATCACTCACTGACCAGTCTCTTAATTGATGAAGGGGTACTTGTATGACTGTTTGTGCCACAGAAATATATTCATGCAGCAGTCACCGTCTATCAAACAGGAAGGATAGGAAGAAAAGATGATAGAATCATAGAAACTTACAGCACAGAAGGAGGCCATTTGGCCCATTGTGGCTGTGCCGGCTCTTTGGAAGAGTTACCCAATCACTCTCACTCCCCTGCTCTTCCCCATAACCTTGCAAATGTTTCCTTTACAAGTACCTATCTAATTCCCCCTTGAAAGTTGTTATTGAATCTGTTTCCACCACCATTTCAGGCAGTGCATTCCAGACCAGAGGGTGGGCGGAAAATAATGAAAGAGGCTGCTTAAACTCAGTTTCAACTTGGAACCTTTCACCAATCTGGGTTGAACCTAGATCCTAGTATCGGCAGAACACACCACATCATAATCTTTTACTGTTTTTCCCTTTAATTAATGTTTCTTGCACTACAGCTAAGATTACATCAACCCGCAGTTGGTGCTTGCACCTAGAATCATAGAATCTTACAGCACAGAAGGAGGCCATTTGGCCCATCGTGCTGTGCCGGCTCTTTGAAAGCCCCACTCCCCCCTTCCTATTTCACACAGGACAGGTGCTGTAGAGCTTTTTGATGAGTTGCATTGCAAACTGGCACCACTGGAATGCAGGTCAGACCCTGAATCTGCCTGAACACAGTACAACCGATAATCATGCCTTACGCAGGCTTATGGCTTCAAATCCTGGTGAAGCACTTTGAGACATCTCAATAACCCAATAAGGCGCTATATCAAATGCAAATATTATTGTATTATTATCGTACAAACATAATGGCTAAAACTGCTTCAGTATCGTGTGTTTGAGCATTCAGCTTCAATGTATCAAACTGTTTTCCCATTCGCTTTTTCGTTTGGAATTCTTTATCAAAGTAAAACTGTCAAATGCTAAATCCTAAGGCAAATCTAACATTTGCCCGAATTATCAGTCTGTTAATCTGCAACACACTGAACACAGTCATCCATTGCCACACATCACCTGGAGACGGTAGCTCATTTCCGAAGGCTATTCACTTCGGTTTGTGTGCATTTAGTTCTGAAACCATTGTTTTCTATTTTCGTTCCGAATGAATAGCTGAATGAACACTGAATTGCTCAAGGGTTTGAAAATGTGTTACTTTCACCTGCGGTTCAGAGAAACCCTGGACCAAAATGTTAGGCTACTTGGCAAACTGGTAATGCATTTATCAGGATTCAATTATATTGTATAACAAAGGAAGTTTCAGATTTGGCTCCTAACACCAGAAAACCTGTCAAGAAGCAGTTTATCTCCTGGCATAATCTCTTGACCAGCTGTGATTAAAAAGGAATTAAATGTAAAAGAAAGGACAGTTCACAGGAAGTCTATATTAAAATTCTTCTTCCATCTTTTCTTCAATCCCAGTGTTTGTTGCTGTCACAGTCCCACTTAAGAAGTTCAAAATAATGTAGCATTGTGTTGCTTTGCAGCTCGAGCCATTGAGTGGAGCTGCTGTGAGCAACAACTTACATTTATATATCGCCCTTCACATGGAACAGCATCGCGTGAGAAGTGCTTAACAGTGGCGGAGCCTGACCCCAAGCAGTGGGATGGAAGAGGTGAATTGTAAGCATGGTCGAAGAGGAAGTTTCTTCAGTTGTGATCTAAAAGAGGGGAAGGAGCGAGCAAGATGGAAGGATTGGAGGAGAGAGCTCCAAATCTTTGGGGCCTGGTGGCTGAAAGTGTGGTTGCCGATGGTGGAGCAGAGGGGATGAGGGACAAGCAGGAAGAGGTCAGAGCCAGCCGAGCGGAGGCAGTGGGTAGTGGAATGGGGAAAAGCAGGTCAGAAAGGTAGGGAGGTGCCAGGGCTTGAAGGGATTTGTGAACTGCCATGAAGCATTTCTGTAATGTTCCATTGATATCCTTCATGTAGGATAATGCCTCAGAGCACTTCACAATGATCAGATCAGTCACTGAGCAAGGGAAAAGGGGAAGGGACCATAGATGCATAGATGTCTTTTTTCAGGGAGGACTTAAAGACAGATAGAAAGTGGGGTGGGGTGGGGGTGCAGGGTGGGTCGAGATAGCGGGGTAGTTGGAGGGACTTCCAGAAGTATGTTCGCGTTGGGGGTGGGTGGGTAAGACGGAAGTGAAATGAAAGGGGGAAGACGGGAGAGAGCAGCCCTGTTCATAAATTAATCCATTGCAGGAATGATCTGCAGTTAGAAGTTGTTCTGCAATATTTAGCAATAAGTGCTGAAGTTGCCACAGGGGGAATGTTTTGGAGGTGTTGCTGAGCCTAGCACCGAGGGAGGTAAATTGGCCCTGCACAGTGAGAACAGAATCACCCCCAGACAAGTGACAATTGTTACTGGCGTTACTACACCTCAGTCACCCCTTCCCAGCTGGTTCCCTTGGTGGATGCCTATCAGCAGTAACAAAAATTACTATGTTAAAAATCGATATATTAAGCAGTTTTTTGTAATGGTATTTTTTCTTTTCTGCACATTCACGCTAGGCTTTCTGTGCAGTCGATATAATGTTTAATTTACAGGACAGCCCACGAATAAAGGAACGTTCGAAAATGCAATGCAATTCAGCACATTTTGTCACAGTTATTATAGGCTCATCGCCAGCACCAAGTTGTTTTAGGCCGTAAGAGGAAGTCCCTCTTGACAGCATTAACCTATATTTCTGTTTGTAGTGCTGCCTTGTTTGTTTAATCAATAATGCTTCATTCAGATCTGAGTAGCAATGAATGAATAAGATGGGAATAGAATTGTTAATTAACTATAATTTTTTTTAAGCAGAATTGTAAAATAATTACCGGAAATTGACGGACACAGTGTTCACAAACATTAAACAAGAAGCAGGAATTGCAGCCGTGTTGGGAAGCTTCTGTATGATGGGAGTTGGCTTGTGATCTTCAGCTGGGTTTAAGCACCATTCAGAAAGAAGGGTAGTGCAGACTCCCATAAAGAGGAAACCGGAGCTTGTCGGTGTTGAGGGAGAGAATAATAATTTTAATAATAATCCTTGCATTTGATATAGCGCTTTATCGTGTCTTTGAGATGTCTCGAAGCGCTTCAGAGAATACACTGTGAAGTGAACTGACTGTGTATTTTGTAGGCGAAACATGGCAGCCAATTGCGCAAAGTGGTATCCCACAAACAGTCATGGCCAAATTATATTATTTTTTGAAGGAAATTATTATCCCCGGAAAAGCGATCTGCCAATCGACTAATAACTCGGTTCCTATTTACTGCGAGGTCAACAGGTGCGTGGAGTAAGGAAACTTGCCCAACGTTTTGCCCTGCCAGGAATCGAACCCAGGTCCTTTTGCTTGCGAGGCGAGTGCTCTAACCACTGAGCTGCAGATCTGTGCAATGGGACCATTATGTAGTCGTGCCACGACATTGTAATGGCATTGTCCCTGCAGGCACATTTAACAGTGATTGAACTGGCATGGGTTCAGCAGCACAGGTGAACCCAGAGCAGAACTCTTTCTTCTACTTCAATGTCAATCTGAACACTGCCCCCAAACTGCACTCTGAATGCTCGCAAAGCACATTCAGATGGCTTTCAGCAGCCAATGTGAACTGAGCGTCACAGTCACATTGATAGCTTTCAAACGATCAGTGTGTAGTTAAGGGATTAAAAACAATTATATTATCTATTTGTGGCTATCACGGGTGATGATAATAATAATTTGCATTCATATAGTGCCTTTCACGTAACAATAAACGCCTCCAAGTGCTTTGCAAAACTATAATTGATGGGAGATGAAAGTAAATGTTATATAGACAAACACGGCTGCTAATCTGCACAAGCAATGCCCCATAAACAACAATAAGATGAACAGCTAATTGATTTGAATTTGGGGGTAAATTTGAATTAGGAGGGAACATTAACTGGAACGCACTGCCTAAAAGGACGGTGGAAGCGTATTCAATAATAAGTTTCAAAAGGGAATTGGATGGATACTTGAAAGGGAAAAAATTACAAGGCTATGGGGCAAGAGTGGGGGAGTGGGACAAATTCAATAGCTCTTTCAAAGAGCCAGCACAGGCACGATTGACCAAATGGCTTCCTTCTGTGTTGTAAAATTCTATGATTCCATGATTCTAAACCACAATAAACTGGGAGAAGGACTCAATGCTTCTTTGAAATATCAATGGCAGGAAGATCCCTCTGAGCACATTTGTGACACGAGGCAGAAAGACCTTACGACACACGTCATATCCCGGAATTAGGTAAGCAGGGTAAGATGCATCCCTCCGGGGAAAGAGTGCGTGTTCCATTCCCGACACGGGAAGTCTTGCTCTCACTGCAAATCAGTACTTTGAGAGTCCGTTCATCAGAATACGATGAGAAATACTTTTCTTGCAATTTCAACGCTCATTTTGTTTTCAGCTTGGTGGCTGACATGGTGGTGTTCAACTCCGAGTTCAACATGGAATCATTCCTCACATCCATAGGCTCTTTCATGAAGCTAATCCCTGATCACAGACCCAAGGAGCTCGAGCAACTCATCAGACCTAAGTGCCAAGTGTTGTATTTTCCCATCAGATTCCCTGATGTTACCAGGTCAGTAACTGGAACAAGCTGATATTTAAAGTTCACTAAAGACCTAACATTGAGTCTAATGATCTTTTGGCCTCCAGTGTTTACAGGCTCATTTTCATATGGTAGTTTTGCTCTGCCCTGAACAGGAAACTCATCCAGCGTGAGTAAGTGGGTTGGATAAATATGTTGTGTTATTAGTAAGGCAGTGGACAGACATGCCTACAGTGTTTTTATTATAAGCTGTAGTCTGTGTTTTAGAGAAACGCATTTATTGTTTTCGGTTGTCAGTTGGAAGAACATTTCATCATATCGGGCGAAACTGTAATGCAATAGGAAATATAATTATAGCGCATGAGAAACTGTCCTGAATATTTACTTGTGTTGCCTGAAGTACATTTTCGCTACACCATGTCATCTGAGATCAAGTATTACAAATAAAGCCTATAGGCGTTGCCATTGGCACAGCAGAACATTTCAGAAACCGATGACTGAATGATCCAAATTCATTAAGTAGAGAGAATGACATCATTGATAGTTCAATGTTTGGGGTGCTTTGGTCCCGAGCCAAATTAGGTTATTTTGTAAAATCTCTGCATTTGGCATGATGTATGCTACCAGTGGCTGGAACTTGTACTCGACAACTTCGACCAACACTGCAGCGCTGAAACTAAAGTTCTGGAATTAACTGTAGCTTCCTGTTGGCAACATTTACATCTCTGAGGCCTGGATTCTCTGAGAGCTGGGTTCCTGGCTTGGAGTAGCGTTTTTTTGTCTTCACGTTTAAGATTGTACAGAATTCGTCTAGATTCTGCAACGTGCCCCTAATTTGCAAGCCTGGTCGGTTTTAAGAACTTTCGAAAAAATGAATCCAAATTTCAGACAGAATTGAAGAATTCTCCACAATCTTAAATTTCAAGACAAAATACTTTGACCGGCCAAGAATAGGTTACCTTTTATGAATTTTTTTTAGGTATATATACCTATGTATGTACATAAATATATATAATAATCTTATAGCACTTTATCATGTCTTCGATACGTCTCAAAGTGATTCACAGACTGTAAATTGAATTGACTGTATATTTTGTGGGTGAAACGCAGCAGCCAATTGCGCACAGCAGTGTTCAACAAACAGTTGTGGATTGACGTGACCGATTTTTTTAAAGGAATTATTACCCCAGGAAAAGCGATACACCAATTGACTGACAACCAGGTTCCGACTTACTGTTAGGTAAACGGAGGTGTGTGGAGTAAGGAAACTTGCCCAACATTTCGCCCTGCCGGGAATTGAACCCAGGTCTATTGCTCGCGAGGCGAGTGCTCTAACCACTGAGTTACAGGACTCCACGACAATACATACTATATTATATACAGTGTATTTATATGCACGATATACATGTGAAGATTTCTGACTGCTGTCTAATCCAAACTAATCCGATCCGTTTCACCTCATTGCGATTTTCATTTTGTAATCTTTTTTCTGTACACACACAGTAATTGTTGTAATCTTATACCTGGTGGGAGATCATCCACAGCTGTGACAGGCATTGACAGCTAATCCAAAACTTGAAGTGGGCAAATTAAACTGTTGATGCACTCGCATTCACACACACACACAATTCTTTTTCCTTCCCCCTGAAAAATACACACCAACTTTTCAAAAATGAGAACCGGGTACATTACGTTTTGTAAATGACATTCTGATAGACCACATTAATATTCGATTTTTTTCTTCATAGGTACAAAAAAACATTAAATGCTCATTCTGACAGTCTATCATTTGTCACCATCAGTACAATAAAGATTATAATGTGGGTTCACTTTCAACTCACTCTTTTATTCCATGCGTGAGCACGACATGCTATTTAAACAGCATTTGTGATAACAGTATAGAAGAGCTCATTTATCTCACTGTGAACAGTAAAGTATTATTAGCCCGGTTTGTTTTAGTAATTATAAGCCGCTTAAGTCATTACAGTACAGTAATGGAATTCATTTGATTGTACATATCAAAAACTAGATTGTGGCTCATTAGCATATTTTCTATTATCAAATGACATTCATCTACACCTGCAGAAACATTCAACCCATAAGGTGACATCGGTCAAAATTACAGTTTCCTTTCAGAAAACATTTTTTTTATCAGTTCATTTTAGCTTTCTTGATGTCGATATCTGTGTAAAAGAGATTAACATTGAAACAATTGAATCAGAGATGAATATTCGTCTCAAGCTTTATTATTTGTAATAATAAAAAGTTAGCATGCCAGATGTTGAAGGCACTTATGTTTGAGGAAAGGAAATTAAACCAGGCTTCAGGTCTGTGAACTCGCGGAGCAACATCCGTGGAATGTGATTTTAAACCCGGGCAATTTCTGAGCAGAACGGGCAAATCCCACAGGTTTAGTGTTAAGACTGTCATTACAAATGCCATGTGCTCCATTTACAGCTTGATAGATCAGAAAGTCACCCCTACATCTTTCATTCCCCTAAAGGTTTCCAACTCGCATACAGAAGTCTCGGAACTGCACCCACATCACCTCCCTCCTCCTCCCATCCCCATTCCATCCTCCAACCAAAGTTCATTCAACTGATCTTAATTAATGCCAGCCTTGCAGCTACTAACATTTCATTTAAAATGATCGAGCAAGTAAAACTGATGGACAACATCTAAAGCCATAGCATTGCAGTTATTATTATTAATAATATTATTAATAATAATTATTATTAATAACAGGCAGAGGGCGAAACCTTGGGAAAGTTTCCTTACTCACACAGAGCCTAATAATAATCCCTCCAAAACCAAAAACAATAATTAAAAAATTGGTCATTTTCAATCCACGACTGTTTGTGGGACATTGCTGTGCGCAATTGGCTGTCGCGTTCGCCCACAAATATACAGTCAATTCACTTTACAGTGTGTTCTGTGAAGCGCTTTGGGACGTCCTCCCGACGTGAAAAGCGCTATATCAAATGCAAGATTATTATTATTATTATTATTATTATCTGGTTGTCATTTTAGGATGACAGCAGTGTGTGTCCACAGGGTCGTATTCGAGTTCGCCTTTCCCTCTACATTGGGTAGTGTTAGGATTCAGATCATAAGAGCTAATTGTTCTCTTATGATCTGAAATTAATAAACATCCCAAGCAACTCAAAAAGGAAAGCGCAGGCTGGTGTTTTAACAGCTACTTCTCCTCCTGGGTCCTCACCTCTCAAAACAGTTAGTATTCTGTCCCTGGCCCACATAACAGCTGTCACTCTGACCAGCTCCCTCCCCACTGCCATGTCTGGCTCCAAGAAGTCTGAAGCAGAAACATTTAGTGATCTGCAATCCCAGCATAACCCCTCTGTGTCTAATTGAACTCCTGGAATACAATCCAACGTGAACCAATGCAGCAGGTGCACACCGAGTCCCCCACTCAACGCAACTTTACAGCGAGAAAAGTTGGAGAGGCAGACCGACCGACAGTTGCGGTGCATGTAGAATAAGCTGGCAGCGAGTTATATAACTAAGGCTGTAACTGGTAGTGAGGTACCAGACAGAATCCAAATGGAGCCGATTTTAGTGCCGTTGATGAGGATGGCAAGAATATCTTTATGAATAGCAGTAGATCTCCAAAATTGAACTGCTCTCTTTAATGTATGTATAATAATACTACTAAAATGGCATGATCCTTGCATGCGATATAGCGCCTTATTCGAGATGTCTCAAAACGCCTCACAGAATATACTGTAAAGTGGAGTAACTGTGTATTTTGTGGGTGAAATGTAACAGTCAATTGCGCACAGCAGTGTCCCACAAACAACTGTGGACTGAGTGACCAAATTATTATTATTATATTTATTTTGGGGTGGGGAGAGGCGGGGAGGGAGTAATATCGACATTACTGATAGCATATGTTTTTTGAAAACTGTTATTTGAGATTACTTTCTTGTGACTGACTAGCACCTGTGTGCTGCAGAGATTGTATACGATATGTGAAAGGACAGAGGACATGTGCATGAGTGAAGCGGGGATAAAAGATAATAATAATAATCCTTCCATTTGATATAGCACCTTATCGCGTCTTCTAGAGTGAATTGGCTGTATGTTTTGTTGGCGCAACGAGGCAGCCAATTGCGCACAGCAGTGTCCCACAAATAGTCGTGAATTAAGTGAACAAATTATTAATTTTTTTTGAAGGAATTATTACCCCCGAAAAAACGATCTGTCAATCGACTAACAGCCGGGTTCCTACTTACTATTAGGTAAACAGAGGCGTGTGGAATAAGGAAACATGCCCAACATTTCGCTCTGTCTTATGGATGGTGTACACAGTCGCCTACCTTAAGCTGTTATTATTATCCTACATGGAATCTCCGTAAGATTCCTTTGCATACAGTTTTAGAGTTGCCATGAAAACTGAGAATCGATTGGGATTGTCCAAAGATACATTCAGCTGCTTTACCTGAGTAACTAATACGAGCTTCAACAGAGTCTGGCTCAGTGGTAGCACTCTCTCCTCTGAGTCAGAAGGTTGTGGGTTCAAGCCACAAGTTGAGCCTTGGTATCACACTGCTTAAGATGACACTCCAGTGCAGTGCTGGGAGTGTGTTCCACTGTTAGAGGTGCCGTCCTTCGGATGATACATTAAACCGGGGCCCCATCTGCCTGTTCAGGTGGACGTTAAAGATCCTGTGGCACTATTCAAAAAGGGTAGGTGTGGGAATGTAAAAGGACTAAAATACGTAGAGTACAGAGTGTCTAGACTATGATAAGAATAAAGTTGTTTTTTAAGCAACAATGTAGATAAATTAGAGCAGAACCAGTGTCCTTGTCCTGTCCTGTCTGCAAATGTATAATTAAACTTGTGATGACTGAATATTGCTTGTCAATCAACAGCAAGAATTGTTTTGAGACATGAGGTGATAACAAATAATCATGTATATAAACTGATGGGACTGCCCCATTGGTAAGGGAGAGTACCGACTCTTCTGAGAGACGTGCTATTGTATTGCCTCTCGCTTTCCCTCTCCTTG